ATGTTTGATATGTGGGGTTAGAGGATTGTTGTTTTTGTTATTGAATTGAATGATGTATGATGAAGATTTGATGAATTTTTTAGGAATAAGAATGTTATTATGTTGTTTGATCAATGTAGTAATAGAGTGTAATATTAGGTGATGAATTATCATGATCAGAAATAAAGTTTTAGGGCTGTAGTATGATTCCCGTAGCAAAATACAGTAGAAAATGCAGAAAATCGCAGGATGCGTCAACCTCAAATTGGATGAGTCGATGCAAGGAGGCTGTTGGACTCAGGATGAGTCGATGCATGCAGAGGATGTGTCGATACATGAGTGTGTGAGACTCAGGATGAGTCGACCGGTGCGATGCATGTGTCGATACATGCTGCATTTTGAAGTCAGGATGAGTCGATCGGTAAGTGCATATGTCGATACATGTTGTGATTTGAAGCAGAATGAGTCGATCCATAAGGAGGATGCGTCGACTCATAGTATGCATATGAAGCAGGATGTGTCGATCCAAGGGGTTTTGTGTCGATACATAATGCTGGATTTTTTACAGAATTAACTTCTAATTGTTGTAACTTGAGTTTTATGATGCTGTTTGAGATACCGTTCGAAGCGTTGATTAGCTAACGCGATGAATATTATTCTAGATGATCTAAATGATGATTAAGAAGTGTAATCCCAGTAAACACTTTAGGATTTAGAATTAATTCCCGTAGATGACCGTTGTGCTGTTTTTAGGACAGATTGATGAATATGAGATGTTAGAGGCTGCTGTTAGAATTATGACAGTAGGATTTAGTGATAATAATGATGTGCAGTAGCAGAATAACAGTATGGATTACTGTATTATTGATATACATCTGAGTTATTAGTAAGATGTGGTTAATCAAATGATGTTTGATAAATAAGTAATGTTTACTAAATAATTTTGAGATGTTTACCAGATGCTGTAATTGAGATGTTTATGAGATGTTGTTGTTCTGAGATGTTTATGAGATGCTGTTGTTTGAGATGACTGAAATGTTGTTGTTTTGATGATTGAGATGTTGTTGTTTTGAGATGTGTTTTGAGATGTTGTTAACTGAGTGTGTTATTACATTCATGTTGAGTCGCATACATTGCATTTTTTTGAGATGAAGCTTATGCTCGTTGAGATGGCCTGGATTGGCAAATTTTGAGATGAAGGCTATGCCTTGTTGATACCTCTATTAATTGGCAGATTAGATTTTTGAGATGGGAGTTCTGCTCCAATGGTACCACATACATTTGCATATTTTTGAGTCGCATCATATGAATGAATAATGAGACGTATTTGATGTTGATGAATGAGTATATATGCTGTAATTGTTGTTGATTATGAGATGAGAAGTGGTGATATTATTGATCTAATTTAATATATTAATTATCATGCGTTTTATTATATTGTTAGATATCTCACCCCTTCTGTTTGAATGTTGCCCCTATGTTGGTAACATGCAGGTAATCGAGAGTGAAAGCCGTATACCTTTAATAGATCGAGTCGGTGTCATTGCTCTGATATGTAACACTCGGGGGGGATGAACGCTTGCTGATTTTTGATTGTTGATTTTTTTGTTGTTGAACTTTAAATTGTTTATTTACTGAATATGAGATGTTTCGAAGTTGTTGTTTTTATTGAAGAATTCCGCTGCGTAGTTGTTGAATATTTAATGAAAGATGTTATGTTGTTAGTTCATCTGATGTTTTATTAAAAGTGTTATATATCCATGATGAATGCAATGGATTTATTAGAAGAATTTGTAACGTCCCGATTCATTTGTATGATTGAAATTTTATAACTCTGATTTATATTGCATAATTGCTTGGGGTAGAATTGGGGTGTTACACAGGTTGTTTCAGATGTGCTTCTCTGAAAACACCTCTGATCAGTTTAAGATATGCACATACGAAAATAAGCTTGAGTTGTTCTTTTATAATAATTCCACACTTGTTCCTTCCCTTTGTGTAATGATTTTTTTCTTCAGGAAAATGGTTGAGAATCCAAACAACAGATTGAGACTTAGAAGGCCAAGTCAGACTGCTTCCGCTCGGCGTGAGAGAGCTGAGCAGGCTATAAGGGGTCGAAGACAGGAGAAAGTGGTGTGAGCTTCCACTTCTACTCCAAGGATTTCCTTGTCTCATTTGCGTCCTCGTCTCGAGTTAATGAGCAGGAACCCGAAGAGGTTGATGTTCGCGTGTAAGAACCCGATGAGGTTGCCCATGATACACCAGCTGCACTTCTACATGCAATAATGAGGCAGGCAAACTAGGGGTATCCCGGAGGGTCGTCTGACACTCCCTCTTGATATATCACAGTGAACATGCGGCTTGGCATGTTTGGGATGGAGAGATATATTTTTATTACATTTTTTCATTTAAATGATTTGCGCACAAATGTGTTAACGACTAACATTGAGAATAATATTTTTTACAGAAACGACTGCCTATAAAGTTTGTGAACCACTCGCGAAAATGTTTGATCAACATCATCCAATTGAGGATTGGTTCAAGGAGGCCATTCTTGGATCCAGACTTGTCATAATTTGTTGTTCCGATTACGTTACTATTAGACACAGAATGCAAGGGGAATTTGCCGAGATATGGCACAAGGAGACCTCATCCTTCCATTTTCTTGTTAGGGAGATGACAATCACACTTGATGACGTTGCATGCTTGTACAACTTCCCATCAGAGGGAGCTTACTTAACCACTCCCAGATTACTCGTGGTGAAGCGATTGAATGGTTGGTCGAGTATCTGGGAGCTCATCCGCAAAAGGCAAAGGAACGGTGTTCCTCAACTAATGGGGAATATGCCAAGTTCTCATTCCTGAGCGACCTATATGAAGAATACCTGGTTACAACATCATCTTTCGAGAGTAAGGGCGATGAGTTCTTTGTTCAGTACCACCGTGAGTGTGCTTTGTGGTGTTACTTCATGTTCTTGGTTGTCACGTCCATTTTTATGGACAAAAGTGTAACGTACGTGGATGTAGCATATCTCCAGTACTTTATGAATTTGGATACAGATAAGGAGTGGAACTAGGGGGATGACTGTTTGGTATACCTATACCAAAAGTTGAATGAAGCTTCTAAATAGAGGACAAGGCAGCTGACAGGATCTTGCACACTACTCACGCTACCTTTCATTCCAACTATCAAATTTAATTTCTATTAATAATTTTTTCTTGCATATCTCTCATTCCTTTTTCAAGGATGAATCATTTATCACTTCCACCGCATTCATGGTTTCGATTTTGATCTGCAATATATTGAGAAGATGCCGAGGACTTCCATGTATATCCTCCACTGAGAGAATCATGTTGTGTCGCTATTCCAGGTGTATCTTGATCAGACTGTTCATGATGATATCCTCTGGACGTCTTTTGAGGATTATAGGAAGATTGTCCCCTTCGACCCCATATCATTATACTCAGGGTAGTTGCATGAAGGACCAACACTATGGTCAGGTATCTTCCAGAGCGATGCATCCGACAATTTGGCTATGTGCATACCATATCCATATCTCCGTTTTAGGATGCTCTCGACATCATTGTTCGTCAGGAGCTCGATGACATCTTCCAGGATTGGGAGAATGATATGGTTCCAGATAAGTGTCAAATGATGCGGGCATCCAACAGTTAGTATTGTGTAGAGGGATATGTGACATGGTTCTACACAGTGTCACACCCTATTATGACACCGAATGCTTCTGAACATCCACCTTGGCCAGCTCATGAGGAGATCTTGGAGAATCAGTAGGTCTGGAATGACCATTCCACGGATGTCTTACCGATCTGTCAGCGGAAACAGTTGATGGGTAGGAGGCTTTGGACTTAGGGATCATTGAGAGGGGCGGTCCTGATGCAGTGACCATCGTAGAGAGGATGGTTAGGGAGGCATCAAGTGCAGTTGGTTACAGGAGGCAGAGGAGGGGTCTGGGGGTTAGGATTAGGCATACACAGTAGACTATGTCTTTTTTTATATTCCGTACTTTCTAAACAATTTATGTTCGTATCATTTTTGGTTTTTGGTATTTCGGTATTTCAATATTATTTAAACGAATTATGTATCAAATCATTGTGTTTATTAGGTACCACATTGATGTTTTATAAAAAAACTATGTTGCAAACGCATTTTGTTCAGAGTTTCGGAGATGCGTATCTGAATGAATCCTTAAATCAATTTTCAAGGTGTTTCGGATATGTATATCCGAAAATATCACTAAATGTTGTTCAAATGATAATAATGTGTAAACATGAGATTTTCGGATATGCATCACCAAAACACCTTAAAAATCGATTTAAATTATATAAAAGTCTTAATCTAATGGAGAAAACTCATATATAAATTTTACTATTTTCTAATAAATATGTGATAAGTGTATAATATAAAAACCTCAGATTAAGCTCTACATCACTAGATAGATGGTTTTTCTTGTTTACATTTGGGAGAGAAGAGACTAGTATTTTACGTAGATAGTCCACCATTAAACCTCTGAACTCTACTTGAAAATAACTGTGTATCATACACATTATTTTTACAATAGAAACCACCACTAAAGATGTTGAAAGTTGTTTGTATACACATTAAGAATTAAAACTATAAATAACCCAAGAAAAAATGTGGAAACCACAAATCTCTTTAGTTTTAAAGGGGAAATGTGGAGCTATAAATAACAGAATGGTCTGACTATTGGAGTAAAAAACTCACATAAAAAGTAAAAAAATTCACATTTGTCTATCACATGGTTTTGGATAGAATATTCTATCGAAATTAAAATTTAATTCATATTACAGATCCCACTTAGTAAAATAAGACTTAGTTGTTGTTATTGTTATTGACGTTGTTGCCTATGGCATGTAAACAAAACTGTTATAATGCCAGATAGTTAAAAGGAAAGTATGCTACCATCCATTCTCCTTAGGTAAAATATGATATGCAGCATAGTGAGTCTAGTCCCGAATGTTTGCTGGACTAGCACTTGAACTCATAGTTGCTGATTAAGAAAATTATCTCTGGGAGATCTCGGGGATCGCGGGGACATGGTACTTCCAATATACTCAGTTACATTTCCAGAAACATTCTTCAACCAGGAGGCACTTCGAGTTAACCAAGCGCCCTCTCCTTGTTCTTGCAACTCAGTCGTCTTTTTCCTCTCTTCCTCAGCCAATAACTCAATCAACCTCTTGGCCATGTAAGACTTAATGGCCTCCACACCTTCATTTACAATCTCCATAGGTGGCAATTCAATAGGATTCTGATCCAAGTTTAGCTTGATTAAACTATCAAGGCCACCAAATGTATCAGGAAGTGCGTGAATTTGATTGTTGCTAAGATCCAATTCCTTTAGGCTAGTCAGATCGCTGAATGTCTCTGGTAGTTCTTGAAGGTCACTGAAGTTACTACTCAGATTGAGAATTTCAAGACTAGTTAGTTTCCCGATTGCGTTAGGAAGCCCGTGGAGTTCGTTAAAGTGAGCATCTAGATAGCGCAATGACTTCATCTCGCAAACAGACGAGGGAAGGGATCGTATCTTGTTTAAACTAATCAGGAGCTTCTGTAAATTCTGTAATTCGAATCCAATGTTTGTTGGCAAATATGATAGGCTATTAAAGCTTGCATCCAGCTCCACCAATGATCTGATCATTTAATGAACAAATATATCAATCAATGATACATACATTCATAGTTTAGTTGCATATAAAGAAAGAAATACAAGGTATTTTCGAGGATTTCTCTGGATAACATATCTTTTACCTGCACTGGCTGATGGAATCAGGAAGGGAAGTCAACTTATTGCCAGAGACATTGAGGATTTTCAACTTATGTAAGAAGCCAATTGAATCTGGAAGTGACTTCAAAATATTGGTAGAGATATTAAGCTCCTCAAGATTTTGCAATCCAGATATTGTGTCAGGAATCAACTATCATATGCAGTCAAAATAGATAAACCACGTTAAAAATCTCCTTTTGGAAATCTAGCTGGTGCAATAGAAATTCACATAACCCACAAAAAACAAACAGATGAAAATAAAATCTTCAATTCACAAACGGTAGTCATCAAGCAAAAACCAATCGTAATGGTTAAACGGTTGCTGTAAAAATGAATCCTCTACAAAAGCCAAAAACACATTTCAATCAACACTTTATAATGGAATTGAGCTAGAAAATACCTAAATTAACCTCAAATTGAATCACTAATGAAAAATTAAACTGAGATCATATCCAAAACTCAAATTGAACATGGCCATGAATAAAAACGAAGAAGAAAAAATGGTAACGCGTGAAATGTAAGCACAATTACCAAAAGCTGATTAGTAGAGAGATTGAGCACCACCAAAGAAGAAATCTGACAAAAAGCCTCGGGCAAGGCTTTCAAGTGTTGCCGCGAAAGATCCACTCGCTCAACATTTTTCTCACGCGCCTCCTGCAACATCCTCTTAACATGCTCTCCGCCTTCACCATCCTCACCCACGTCACCTTCATTACCGTTACCACCATCATCGTCTTCATAAATCTTCACAAGCCTCGTCTCCGCGTCCTTCAGAAGCTTCTCATAAGCATCGTGCATCTCATCTCTTTGCAACAAGGACTTATAAACGAGCTTCTCTTTTTCAGCAGAGTCTCTACATTGCGTCTCTCTTTCCGTTACATGAATCCTCCAATGTTGTTCGTCGATCTCAGGTGGCCTAGGGAGGCTCACGATCTCTTCCAATTGGCGCGATAGATGGGCTTCCAGGTCGATGAGCTTGACTTTCGCGGTGTCTACTTCCTCGTGCGTGGGACGGTCACCCATGAGGCTGAGGACTGATCGGGCTTGGGAGACGTCGGAGATGGCTTGCGTCATGGAGGCTAATAGTTTGGGGTCGGTGAGATTCGGCATTTGGCCGACGATTGAAGAAGAAGATGATGATGAATGATCTGAGGGTTGTGATTGTTTAGTATTGAATTCGGAT